TTTTCTCCCGCTATGGACGTGTATTTATATTTGCCGAATGAATATTGTGGTGTGTGCTTCGATGAATGGGATTTCAGACTCTCCCCGTGCACAGCCAGTGGGTGGAGGTCACCTCCGATGACTTTTTCTTCCCATCTGTCTGTCAGTCCCCAAACCAGTTGCTTTTCCAGTGGCTTCCCGGGTGTCTGTACATAGTTTGTCTTCGTATAGGAGCGCTCTCCTGTGTTCTAATTTAACAGATGATGGCTGTGTGAGGAAGACGATGTAAATACAATACAAATTAAACTGGATCTCTATGGCCTAGGTTTTGTACATACAGAAACTGCATGGTATTTAAATTATTGTTTGTCTCTGATGTATGCAGTTTCTTTAAAAACCAAAAAAAAAAAAAAAAAAGTCTAAAAAAAAAAAAAATCCTTTCCTTGGCTCCCGTGTGTCTTGTCAACCACCGAAAAGAGTTGGGCTGTGGCTGGGATGAAGGGCAGGTCAGCTCAGCAGCAAAGCGTCAGAGTTATGGAGGCAGACAACCTCCTCGTGTATCAGGTGTTACTGGGTGCAAGGAGGACGACTGCATGTAAATTAGCTTTCTAGGACTTTCTAAGACATACTGCCCAGCTGCCCTTTAATAAACTGCAGTCCCTCAGAGTCCTCCCCATAAGAGCAGCTATGAGACAGCTTTGGGTACCAGCAGTGCCGTGGGGTGTCACTGCCCCAAAGCAAAAGCCACCAACTACTTGGCTTTTGAGTACTTTCTCGGTCTCTGGGCTAAGTCTGAGTATTTGTCCTATAAAGCTAAGAGCTTTATCGCCTAACTTTCTGGTCCTGACTTGTCTTTTTGAAGTGCTGGGGGGAAGGCAAGACAAGCTTCAGTGCTTGTTGGCTGCATTTTTCTAGGTGGGTGAAGTAACCGGACAACCGATGTTTGGCCCGGCCCTGGAAGAAGGTGACCCTGGGGACAGGGAACTTACCCTAGCGCGGCTCCCCTGTGCCACTCCTGGGAGTCCTGGTGAAGGTCTTACCACGCAGGTGCCAACTCAGGAAGTCTGGGTGGGCCTGAGAGTCTGCATTTCTAGCTAGCTCCCAGGACATGCTAATGCTGCTGGTCCAGAAATCATGCTTCTGAGTAGCAAGGGCTGGGACGACAGGAGCCGCTTTTGCTTCGCCTGGGAGTCTCCAGCTCCAAAGACCAGAGTGAGCACACACACCGCTTACTTCTTTGCTGAGCAGCGACCACAAAGCCCGCACTGGCCCTCAGCACTCTGCAGCATTGCCTCAGAGGGCACACAGGCTCTCACCTGTGCAGGCGGAGGGACTCTTGGAGCAGGAGTGGCTGTGGCAGAGGGGGCGAGGGGTTACAGAAAGGTTTTCACGTTTCGTGCTGAGAGCTTCGGCCCCATTCTGCCCCTGCGCACCTGCAGAGCTCTCTGACTCGTAATAAATCTAACCGGCAGGACAGAACTGCAGGTACCGAAAGGCGTGGAAGACCTATAAAGAGAAGCTTTGGTGGCGCCCCCAATAGGCTTCGCCCTGCAAGGCGGAAGGAAACGGGCCATCATCCTGAGGGAGCCCTTGCTGAAGTGAACAGAGGCTATGGCTCTACATCCCCAATAGGTAGAGGTGGCCGGGCGTGTCCCATCCTGAGATGTTTAGTCATCCTAGGACAGACAAGTGGTGGCTATGCCACAACACCTAACCAAGCAGTTTGTCCGAGTCATTTTACTTCTCTGGGCCTCAATTTTCTTTCTTACCTGGAAAATGGGGACACAATCAGATGTCCTATGATGTCCTTTAGGACATCAGCTTTCTATGACTTGGGTTCATCTGAATTTTAAAACACTACGTCCCAAAGAAAGAGTAAGCTTTAGGTAAGTCCTGGCAGGGCAGTCTCTTAGAGAACAGT